TTCTGCAAGAGAAGCATAACACAGATGGTTAATTTCATTTTGTCTTCTCCTTCTTGTAACCATTACCTCATTTGGATCTCCAATCACGATTGAAGGCGGATGAGCTTTTTAAACCCATGTATGTAGATCTTTTCGTCTTTGATTTCTCCTTTAAAGGTTTTCATCAGAAAGATCAACAACTAGCTTTATCCCCTCATTTTGCAATGATGAATCAGCAGATAATTCTTTGCATGGAGCAGATCCTGTTGCTCGGCACCAATGGTAGGTGACAACACATTTGCTAAAGGTTTAGATTCAGGAGATTCAGTAGTGTTCACACCATCTTGTGTGGGCACACGAGGAACATATATGTCTTGAATTTCACATTCTTGAGAATATTCTGAAAAATCTTCTGCATCACTAAACACAACATTAATGGATTCTAAGACTTTTTCAAAACGCATGTTATAGATCTTAAATGCACAGCTATTGGAAGAATATCTAATAAAAATTCTTTCATCACTCCTAGAATCAAACTTACCTAGATTCTCTCTATCATTCAAGATGTAACATTTGCATCCAAACACATTAAAATATGAGAGATCAGGTTTCTTATCCTTTCCACAACTCATAGGGAGTTTGAATAGTACCTTTTCTAAGGTAAACTCTATTGGAAATATGACATGCCGTATTAATAGCTTCTACCCAAAGTCTTGTAGGGAGCTTTTTGGCATTGAGCATTACCCTAGCCATCTCTTGAAGCACTCTATTTTTCCTTTCTACAACACCATTTTGTTCAGGTGTTTTTGGTGCTAAAAATTCATGAAATATGCTCTACAGTTCACAAAAATTAGTAAAATCATCATTCTCAAATTTCTTTCCATGGTCACTCTTAATTCTTACAATCTTTGTAGCTTTAGAACTCTGCTCAACAAGCAACCTTTTAGCTAATTTCTGAAATGCATTGAAAGAATCAGATTTCTCACGCAAAAAATCAACCCAAGCATACCTTGAAAAATCATCAACACAAACAAACACATACCTTTTACCTCCCAAACTTTCAACTTGCATAGGACCCATTAGATCCATATGGAGCAATTCCAAAACACATGAGGTATTGTGATTTGACAAAGCTTTATGAGATATTCTAGTTTGCTAACCTTGGTGGCATGGACCACACATATTACCTTTTGGAAGTTCAAGCTTTGGTAGTCCTTTAACCACTTCTTTCTTTGAGAGTCTTACCAAGTCCTTGAAGTTCATGTGACTAAGATTCTCATGCCATAAGTTAGTGGAATCTGTTTTTGAACTAAAACATGACACATGGTTAGAAAGCAAGTAACAATTGTCATTTGACCTTTTTTCCTCAAGGAAAGAAACACCATTACCATTCAAGATTTGACACTTGTTCTTTGAGAATTGAATCACAAAATCTTTGTCACAAATTTGACTAATACTAATCAAATTAGTTTTCAAACCATCAACAAGTAAAACATCTTTCAAAACTAGAAAATCATGAAACACAATTGATCATTTGCCAAGAATTTTACCTTTCTTCTCATCTTCATAAGTGACATGCCCACTATCAACCGATTCACAGTCAAGAGAGATTTACTACCTGTCATATACCTTGAACAACCACTGTCTAGATACCAAAAATCATTTTGAAATGCAAGCAAAGAAGTATGAGACACAAAACATTTCACATCAACTTTAGGTTTCCAAACTCTCTTAGAAGAAAAACCATTGTTAGTATTATGTTTTACATTAGCAACAAAACTATGGTTTTTAAAAAATTTCTTCAAATAAGCAATGAATGTGAAGCATTTGGGTCTGATGTGACCTTTCCTGATACAAAAATGACAAATGGGAATGAATTTTGATACCTTTGCAACCTGTCTCATAATAGTTCCTTCAGCAGAGGTTCTGGTGGCTTTCACAAACATGTTAGCACCAGCTTTCGATGTGCTAGCACTAGGACTGAAGCCCAAACCACACCGATCTCTGAAGGATTTTCCTTGACCAAGCATTTCTTCAAGCTTGAGAGAATTTGCATTCAACTTATCAATGATAGCCTTAGCCTCAGTCAGTTTAGTTGTAAGAACAACAATCTTTTCGAACAAGGCTTTCTTTTGTTTCAACAAGGAAGCATTCTTGATACCAAGAGATTGTAACTTTTTCATAGCTTTTAGCCATTGGTCATACATCTTATCATATGCTTCTTGTTGCTTAGCATAGATATCTTCAGTGTTGTCCGAAACTTCACTCTTACCATCCTCTTGATTCACAGTGAAGGCTAAAACATTCTCATCATCACCCAAATCATCATTATCACTCTCATCATGCTCACTCTCACTCAAAGTGGCAATCATGGCTTTACCTTTCTTCTTTTCAGCATGTTAGCACACTCAGATTGTATGTGCCCAAAACCCGCACATTCAAAACACTTGATACCTTTATTTTTCTTTTCTTTATCTTTTGAAAATTTCTTTGTAAAGATACCAGGGTTTTGATGGTCATAAGACTTTTTCACAAAAGGTTTTCGGTCATAACAACTATTATGAGGCTTTTTCATGTTTTTCTTTAAAAACTTTGAAAAATTCTTTGTAAGTAAAGCACAATTTTCATCATCCAAAGAGTTTAAATCACAGTCATCAAAAGGATCAAAATTAACCTCATGTTTGAGAGCCAAACCTTTGCTCGGTTTCTGTTTTTCCCATCATTGCAGATTCAACTCATAGGTTTGGAGAGAGCCAATGAGTTCATCGATGTCCATAGCATCCAAATCTCGGCATTCTTCAATGGTGGTGACCTTTGACATAAATCTTTGGCAAAGAGCAAAGCACTTTCCTGACAAGTTCAGCATTAGAATATGTTCTTCCCAAAGCAAAGCATTCATTAGAAATATCACACACTCTACCATAAAAATCAATTATAGTCTCATCTTCTTCCATGATCAAATTTTCAAAATCAGTGACAACTCTTCTAAGCCTATTTCATTTCACAGTACTAGTTCCCTCATTATTGACTTGGACTCTATCCCAAGCATCTTTAGCAAGCTCATAGTTAGCTATGACTTTCATTTGGTTCACATTAACAGCATTAAAAAAAGCATGAAAGGCTTTAGAGTTATAATTTGCCAAAGTTATTTCATCAGCAGTCCAACTAGCAACATGTTTTGGTCTAGACACTTCATTTTCAACAATAACTAGGGCTATCCAACCATTCACTATCTATAGAATTAAGGAAGGCACGCATCCTAGGTCTATATTTGTAATAGCTAAGACCTTCTAACAGAGGAGGTCTATGAGCAGATCCACCTTCAGTGAGGAAACTCATGATGAAAAACAATCAAACAGATGCTAACACACAGATGGAAGTGCACACACAGACAAATAGCAGATCTGAAGTAAAAACGTAATACAGAACATATTTCATCCACCAGCCAGATCACTCAGATGCAAACGAAGATGAGTAAAATGGGTAAGGATCTACTAAAGTTACTGATCAGAACTCGCTCTGATACCACTTGTTGGGGATTGGTTAAACCACTTTGGTTTTGGATTAGCCATTTTAAAGTGCAGTGGAATATTTACCAAGTGGATTAAGACATTTCCAGGTTTTAGCCACATCAAACACAAGTGCATAAAATAAATAACACAACCATATACATGGTTCGACTAAATCCACTTTTAGCCTACATCCATGAGACCTTGTCCAGATCGAAGCAATCCACTAAGTTAAAAACACATTACAAGATATAGTTCAAAGCTTATCTAAGTTACAGTCGAAAGAACTCCCTGTTCAACTTTACACTTAGCACCACACTCTAAATCCTTAACGTGTAGCAACTCATTTGAGCTTCCTCTTACCGAGAACACACCCGAAAATAGCTTGTAAACCACCAAGCTTCAAGCACGAAGCCACACACCAGCATCAACAAAGGAACCACGTTCCAAGAGCCATCAAGTCTTTGTTTGATATGGTGAGGTTTTGGCACAAAATGGAAAATGAACCTTGAACCTTAAGAGAAAGAATACTTTCAGAGTAAGATGAAATAAGAGATCAAAGGTTAGATACATTTATGCAAGAAAGAGTATTATATAATAAAAGTTTTCTTGCTCAACAAAACAGTGCCATGATAGCAACAAGTACCTGACCTATGTTTGTCCAATAATGAAAGTATTCCTTCTTTTGGTTTGGACCACAAAAAAAATTGGGAAAGATAACTTTATTCCCTAGGACCACTTAAGGAAAAAATGACACATGTAAAAAAGTCCTAAATATCAAGAGACAAAGATAAACACAATCTTTTTCTCTCTATCAGACATGCAACTCATGTCGGGTTGCAAAGAGTCTGAAGCGAGACTATAAGCATAGACCGTTATGCACACACACTCGAGATGAAACAAGCCAAGACACATGTACGACAAACTGTGTGTACTAAGAATTGATGTGCACACACACACAACAGATGAGAGAAGCCAAATAAAAGGATTGGCAGCTAGTGTGCACACATAATTGTTGTGTTGTGCACACACATAACTCATAAGTTTGACAAAAATAAATATTCTACAATTATTATTATTATTATTATTATTGTTGTTGTTATTGTTATTGTTATTGTTACTACTACTACTACCAGTATTAGTACTTATTTCAATCTATATACACTACAAGGAAAAAGGCCTTTCTTGATAGAAAATTTGATAGAATTTCTTGATTATTTTAAAAACAGTCAAGAAGTCTTTTCCTTGACAACTTCTTGACCCTTTTTCAACTATCAAGGATTTGAGACAATCCTTGACTATTTTAACAAATCCTTGATTGTTATTAACTATCAAGGATTTTGTAAAAATTAAATTGTTTAATTTCATTCCTTGATTGTTATAGTCTTAATCCCTGATAGTTAAACTATTAAGGATTTTGAAAAAATGAAATTCATTCCCTGAATGTTATATTCTTAATCCTTGATAGTGTTTAACTGCCAAGGATTAAGTTATTAAAAAAAAAAAAAAAAAACAAAACTCAAATTTGGCTAAGGCAAATTCTTTCTGGCCAAAACACCACAGTTCATTGTCAAAACCCATTTTCCCCCAAATTTTGACCAAGTCAAACCTAGGGCAAGAACAGAACTACCTCCAAAAACCCAAATCCCCTCCACTAAATTAATCAGAGCCCACAAACCCTAAATCTCCTTCACTAAATCGCCCAATTCTCTTCCACTAAATCGTCGAAATCTCTTCCATCAATTGTTTCTTCAGTTCCCAATAGCAGCAATAAACAGTGAAGTCATCGCTTTGCCACATCCGCCGCCGCAAACCATCACCTGTAAGAATGTTGTTTTCTTCCTTGGATGAACATGTCTTCTATGTTTGTTTTTATGTTTATAAACATTACAGTTATTTCATCATTATATAGCCTTCTCATTCATAAACACATATTGCTTTTTACTATGATTTCCATATGTTAAATATGAATTGATTGGATCTGTAGTGGAAAACAACTTTGTCAATACATTGTTTTCACATTCGCTTATTATTATTACTATTATTTCTGTACTGAGTGTAAAAATGAGTTTCCTCTTTTCTTGTGTTGTTTTCTTTGCGTCCAGATTCACATTGGTTTGAATATTTATGCTTTTCAGTGCCTTTGTTTTGGTTGGTTTTGCCCAGGATTCCAGGGCCTTTAGACAGTTTTGTAGGTTAGCAATTTAAAATTAAAAATAAAATAAAAAAGGTATTATATAATGTGAGATTAATAATGTCGTACTGAGAAAAACTTTTCTCTTCAAAAAAATGGTAAATATGAGTCCTAAGTATAATGATTCACAATATTTATATATAAAAATAAATTTACGCTGTATTTTTTTTAGGAGTTTAGGGTCTTTAGACAGTTTTTTAGGTTAGCAGTTTAAAAAAACATATTATGTAGTATAATATTGTTATAAGTTTTTGAGTTTAGAGTTAATTTATACTTAATTGGTAGTCGAAATTATGATGAGATGATACATTTTTGTTTGAAGTTATTGAGATGACAAAATCCACTATATGGTATTGTGAGAAGTCTTTTGATTTACTGTGAGAATAATGTCACATTGTGAGAATTCTTTTCTTGTCTTTGAATATACATTGGACAGACTCTTTGCTTAGGTGTTTGTGGTTTATATTGGCAGTAGCCCAGCAGGCCTTCATTTATACCTAAAAAATAGAAAACTTGATTAATATATAGTCATTTGGGACACTCTGAACAATACAGTTGTACATTTTCATTTAGCAATTGATTAGGCATATTTAACACCAAAGGAGGTAAGGCATTGTGATTAGTAAGCAGTGTAAAGGGAAAATGAAATGATTACATGTGTTGTGTTGCTGCAGAATCACTATATAATGTCAGACTCAGTTTGGTTATTAATACCACATTATTAATTGAGTTTGTCCCAGTTACTATCAATTTGTTTTAATATAAGTAGTTACTGAATTTATTACTGTAATGATATTTTGAATGTTGTTGCTTTCAATTCTAGATACAATCTTTGAGGTTTATAGATTAATAGATAAAATAACATTTTGAAGTGCATTTGAAAATGCTTTAGAAATTTTGCACTCAATTAGTTATAATAGCTAGAGATACTTGGTTGTATTTATTTATAGTGAATGAAATGCTTTAGGTGAAATTAATGCTTTGTTTAAATAGAATGTCAAAAGAATATGAAAGAGAGGAAGAATTCTTAAGATTTGCTAAAATGAATTTCAAAGAAAGAGATGTCATTCCATGTTATAAAGTTTAAGATTCAAACATGAACAATGACTTTACTCTATTAGAAAATGTATAGATTAAACAAACCTCAATAACTTCACTCTATTAGAAAATGTTAAAATACATCACAAAAGCACACTCAATAAGAATCAAATAAAAATGAAAGACAATTTAGTTGCCTCAACATTCCTGCTCAAAATAGTTGTGTTTAAAGCTTTAACCAAATCAAACAACAATCTGCCCATAATGTTTCACAATCCATTTAACGATAATTTTGAAATTAAATTTTGTCAAAGACAATTTTAAGCATGTAATAATGTTTTATCCAAGTTTTACCATCATATTCAATAAGGACAAATCCTGGATTATGTTAGATAGATTTTCTAAAGAATATGAAGATGGTGTTGAGTGATTTTTGGAGTCTGCAAAAACATGGTGCAATGATCCACATAAGATTCCATGTCCATGCATAAAATGTGCAAATATGTCTCATCATACAATTCAAGATGTCCGTGATCATTTGTTTGTGTTGGGTTTTGACGAAAGTTATAGGATTTGGGTTTTCCATGGAGAAAATGTTGATGACAATTACTCTAGGAACATCAATGATTCATATACCAATGAATCAACATTTAAAGACTTTGATTTTACTAAGGATATGGTTAATGATGCTCAGAAGTATTGCAAAGAAGATCCAAATACATTGAAAACACTTCTAGATTATTGTGAAAAGCCATTGTATAATGGGTGTAAGTATAGTACGCTTAGTGGGTTCATGAAATTCCAATACTTGAAAGGGAAGTATAGGTGGTCAGACACAAGTTTCTTGGATTTGTTGTGTAGCCTTCATGATGTCCTACCGAATGAAAATTCAATGCCTAAGTCAATGTATGAGGCAAAGAAGGTCATGGCAGCATTAGGATTAGAATATGAGAAGATTCATGCATGTCAAAATGATTGTATTCTATTTAGGAATGAATACAAGGATCTTTCCGAATGTCCATCTTGTGGTGCTTCGCGTCGGAAGAAACAAGTTGATAAATCATCAAGCAATTCCAAAGTTCCTTCAAAGGTTTTATGGTAGTTTCCTCCTATCCCTAGGTTCAGAAGGATGTTTCAACCTCCACAAACTGCCTATGACTTAACTTGGCATGCATGTAACATTAAGAATGATGGTAAACTTCGACATCCAGTGGATTCACCCACTTGGAAACTTATTAATGATAAGTGGGATGAATTTGGTTCGGAAAGTAGAAATCTTAGAATGGCTCTTTCGACGGATGGTTTCAATCCACATAGATCTCTAAGTTGTAAGTATAGTTGTGATGCTTGTAACCTATAACCCCCCACCTTGGTTGTGCATGAAAAGGAAGTTCATAGTGTTGAAGTTATTGATCTCAGGTCCACAACAACTCGGGAACAATATTGATGTATATTTGTCACCTCTAATCGAAGACTTAAAACAATTATGGGAAATTGGTATTGAGACTTATGATGCTTATAGGAAAGAGTATTTCACCTTAAAGGCGGTGTTACTATAGACCATAAATGACTTTCCCGCATATGAAAACCTTTCCGATTGTTGTGTTAGAGGTTATTATGTATGCCCAATATGTGTACAAGGTACGTCCTCTTGTAGATTGAAAAATTCCAGGAAGAATTGTTATATGGCTTATAGGCGATTCCTCCCTGAGAATCATCCATTCCGGAAAAGAAAGAAAGCTTTCAATGGTGCTCAAGAGTTTGGTTCTCCCAATGACTCTTTGAGTGGGATAGAATTGTTGAGACAACTTGAAGGCATTGAAAATGTATGAGGAAAGAACTTGCCAAAGAAACGTAAATTATGTGAAGACGACAAACATAAACTATGGAAGAAGAAATCCATATTCTTTGAACTTGAATATTGGAAACATTTGTATGTTCGTCATCAACTAGATGTCATGCACATTGAAAAAAATGTGTGTGAAAGCATTTATGGTATATTGTTGAATACACCAGATAAAACGAAAGATGGGTTTAACACACAATTAGATCTTTGTGATATGGAGATTAGGAAAGAACTAGAACCACAAGTTCGAAGGACAAGTACTTGGTTACCTCCGACATGTTACACTATGAATGAAGTAGAGAAGCGAAAGTTTTGTGAAACCTTAGCAAATCTCAAAGTACCCATAAGGTATTCTTCAAACATAAAGAAACTTGTCTCAATGGATGATTTAGAGATTCATGGTTTGAAATCTAATGACTATCATGTACTTATGCAACAATTGCTACCGTTAGCCATTAGAGCTCTTTTGCCCAAGAACGTGAGATATGTTATCATTAGGTTATGCTTCTTCTTTAATGCACTGTGCAGTAAGGTTGTTGATGTTGGCAAGTTAACCAATATACAAAGTGATGTTGTTGTGACATTGTGCTTGTTAGAGAAATATTTCCCTCTTTCATTCTTTAATATAATGATACATTTGACAGTGCATCTCATTAGAGAAGTTAGGCTATGTGGACCTGTTTACTTTAGATGGATGTATTCTTTTGAGAGGTATATGAAAACACTTAAAGGTTATGTGAGGAACCATAATCGGTCTGAGGGATGCATTGCAGAGTGTTATGTAGTAGAAGAAACGTTAAAGTTTTGCTCAAATTACATGGACAGTGTCAAACCAATCGGTGATCCAAATGCTTTTGTTGACAAATTTACATGTTTTGGCAAGCCTTTACTGGGTGATCAATTGACACTTGTGGATAGTCAAATATTATAGCAAGCACATCTTTATGTGTTGCTGAATACAACTAAAGTTGAGCCTTATATTGAGTAACGATTATCCCTTTCTCATTTCAATTTCTTTGTATAGTTCAATTAATTGTGTTGAGTAATTCAATTGCATTTATATAGGGAACATATGGAGATGTTAAAGAAACAACATCACCGTCAATCTAGAAACCCAAAATGGTTACAAGGTCAACACATTCGCACCTTGCACATTGGCTACAAGATAAGGTGGATCAAGCTTCCCCAATTTTTCAGTCTTCTTTAACCAATTTATGCCACTTTGTGATATTGACTACTTATTAAACAGGTTTCAATTTCTTTGGCCAATGGTGATGAGATATCAAACACTTCGCGTTAGCTAGCACAAGGACCTTGTCCTTTCGTTATGAAGTTCTCGGGTTATGTTATTAATGAATTTCAATTCTACACACAAGCCCATGATATTGATAGAGTTACACAATGTAGTGGGGTTAGCCTAGTCGCACATACAATGCAAATTGCAAGTGCTAAGGATAAGAATCCCATATATGGTGACGTGTCATTCTATGGAGTTATAGATGAAATATGGGAACTTGACTATCACATGTTTAATCTGCCCATATTCAAGTGTGATTGGTTTGATAGTAATGGTGGGGGTGAAAATAGATTATCTAGGTTTTACACTAGTAAATACAAATAGATTAGGTCATAAATCCGATCCTTTCATATTGGCTTCTCAAGCTAAACAAGTTTTTTACACAACAAACCAATTAGATGAAAATTGGGTTGTTGTTTCTATGATGCCAAAGAGAAGTACAAGTCGGATTTGAATAATGAGATTGATGATCACATGCAATTTGAAAGCCCAATTGATGCACAAGCTTCTTTGTTTATTGATGGTGGTGATAACGATGATTTTTTGTATACACGTCGGGATGCCGAGGGCATTTGGGTTGAATAAATTCAGATAATTTCTAATTTTTTGGTAAGATACTAATTCAATTCATTTGTTCATGCATTGCATTGTTTTAATTTCTTAATATTTCAGTTATCGCATTGTTCATCCATTACATTGTACTAATATTCACTACATTTGAAATTTTCAAGTTTTTGAAGACTTTATGGACAGGCTTTTTTGGTAAGAATTTTGTTTGACATGGATCCACCGATAGAAGACATTTCAAATGAAAATGAAGGTGAAGGCAGCCCTAAATGTGAAGATGGAAAACTAGAGAGGAAAAAACAGAGGGGTCCAACAAAAAAAGGCAAGCCTAAAACAAAACTAACAATAAAGTATAACAAAAGAGGTATTTCTATTGGACCCTAGGCTATGGAGTCAGCCACATTTGAAGGGATGGTAGCTCGAACTATGGTTCCTATTATTTAGGATGACTGGCGACATGTGCCAAAAGACTTGAAAAGAAAAATATGGGATTTTGTGTATGTAAATTACTAAAACTTTTGCCTAAATCGGAATAATACAATGATTATATGTCATGAATGTTAATACTTACTATTTTTCAGGAACACCCTAAGAGTTGAAAGAAAACACTTCAAGACATTGGAGTAAAGTAGAGGTCGCTCAAATATATCCTAAACAAGAATTTCATTATTCCCTTTATGGATAAAAGTGGTAAATTGGTGAGACCTCCACCACAGTACAACTTCATTAGAAAGAGTCCCTAGGAAGAATTTGTGGCTAAGCGATCATTGAAAAACTTTCAGGTGAACATTTTCAAACAATTGTACTGCTTTAATAAATTTATCTAACTATTTGGATGTCACAAACCATTCTATTTATTTGGGCAGACATTGGGCACTAAGCTAAAGGAAAAACAAGCCAAGAACAAATACAACCATAGATTGTCCTAGAAGGGATACGCTAATCTTATTGAAGAAATTGTAAGCATTTTAAACTTTCATACTATCTGAAACATTGTATTATTACATGACTAATATGTGTTTGTTAATATGCGTGTTTTGTGACTAATTTTCTCTAGAAACAAGAGATCGGGTTGACTAAAGAGGAAATTTATAGAAGCTTGACATGGAAATTGGCTAGAAATAGAAAAGGTGGAGGTTATGACTCAGAAGTGGCTCACATAGTGGAGAAGATTGCAAGTGAGGAATTATGTTATCATACAATTCAATATACTTTTGCTTGTGGGCATCAGAAACAAGCTTAATTCTTCTGTCTTATTTGTAGAGTGACCTTGAGACTAGGGCAAAGACTAGCTCGTTGGAAACGGATGGCAAAAATCACATCCTCAGTCAAGCATTAGGCACCAAAGAACATCTAGGGTTAGTACGAGGTATGGAGAAGTTTATCACCCATGGGGTGTACTTTGAGATTCCGAAAAATGTTAGAGATATGATGATAAGGGAAAGAGATGAATTTATTAAGAAGTGTAATGCTTTGGAGGAGATATTTGAGAAAATGTCCAATCAATTGATTAATAGGAGTCTAATGTTTGACGCAGGAAGCAATCATTAGCCATTGAAAGGCAATGCTCTATTGGCCAAATCGGTCACAGTGGTAAGATCTAAACCTTTGGTTAACAAGACATAAATGCTATGTTTATTTAACATTAATTTTTGGCCACTTTATTATTGTAGGATAATACTTGTTACCTTGTCGTAGATTCCCAAGCCAACATTGTGGCAAAGGGGACAATTATAGAATATGAAGGTCCCAACGTATGGGTGACCATGGATGTGGTGTTTGATGGGAGCCCATCTCTCCCATTCCCAGATGATGAAGAATTTTTGGTGAAGGTAAGCGATGCGATTGGCCATCATCTGCTTTGGCCAGAGGAACTTGTATTATGAGTAGCTAACATGGTAAAGACTACAATCATCTACTAACTTATTCCAAATTAGTTGTGTTTTATTCATAATATTATGTTTTAATATTGACTTGTTTTTTAATGTCTACTAGGTTTCTAAGAAACTTCGAAAGAAGAAGTATACAACTCCCAAAAAAAGTGGCTAAGAAATTAGAATCTATGTACAACAAGGTAGATTCTGATATGGAGAATGAGGACATTGACCCGTTGGGTAATGAATTAGTGATGAGTGCTTGGAAGTGCACTCATACTTAGTGATTTTAAAGGTATTTTGTGAGGGAATTAGGTTTAATTGGTTAATTTTACTTAATTTATGTATCTCTTTTGTTTTCTAGAATCATAGGTATGTTTTGTGAATTTTTAGGTGCTTAGGTGCTGAAAATGAGGATTTCAAGCATGGACATTGAAGATAAAAGAATCATAAGCATGTAGGAACAAATGGTTCGAGAATCGGAGCTCCAACGAAGAAGTTATGGATTTTTGAAGATTATTTGCTGCAGCGAAACTATTCCCACGCCGTGCAAAATGGACAAAAACTTCATTCTGCGGCGCCACAAAATTATGCCATGGCGCAATGCGAGAAATTTATGTTCAGAAATTTTTTTGCCAGAACATGCTGCACGAAAATGATAATAACTTGAGCAACACAACTCCGATTGACCTGGTTCTGGTGGCATTTTAAATCTAAGAGACAGAGGTACAATTATGTTTTGATTGTGGCCTAGTTCAACCTGGAAGATGGTTAAAAATAAAGACGAAAGTTACATTAGTGCTTGGAGATGTGCAGATTTGTTATTATGCGTTTTTAATTGAAGTATAACTTTTTACCATAATACCCTCATGACTTTAATATTATAAATAGATGTCATTAGCAATATTTTAGGGGGCTAGGGTTTATAATATCAAATATAATTAGAAAGAGGCAAGAAGAGGAGATCTTACCTAGGGTTTCATCTTCTTCTTATTGTACTTTATCGTTTTCAAGATTTTAAGGTTTGATTTCCTTATGATCATGGGTAACTAAACTCTTATTTAGGGATCCAATGTAGCCTAATTGGAAGGCTCTATGTTTAAACATATATTTATTGTTATCAATTCAATGAAAATCTGGATTAATTCATGTATTTATTCTGCCTTTAATTTTCATTATTGTGTGACGACACTTAGTGTGAATTAGTAGGTTGTTTGTGTGGAGATTATTGAATGAATGATTAGTATTTTGTGCATATGCCCTGACAGAATATTAGTTGGTTAATGATTTCTTGAATAATTAGTGTCTATGTATACACCCTGACAGATGCGCCTTTATTCATGATTTTAAGTATTCTTGTGCTTAATGGGTTTTTAATTCATAGGCTAGACTATACGCCCTAGCTAGTCTTGTGTTAAAAATACTAGGTTAATCCCGAATGCCTTGTGGTAATACCTTGATTTAGTGAATGCGAACCCTAGAGACTGAATTGATAAATAATAGAGATGTTTGACATAGAGCTGGATAATTATGGTGAAATGGAGCCCTAGGTTTTGATCAATTGGGTTTTAGATAATTTTAATAGTTGTTTAATTTTAGTTTTATTCAGTTGTTGCTTTTAAAGTGATCTTCCTTAATTCTTCATTCTTAAGTCTTATTTTTAGTTTCAATTGAATCATAGTTATTAGGATTAGCAAATTGCTTACAAATCTCTGTGGGATCAAACCTTGCTTTTGCACACTAGACTACGAGAGCGATTCGTGCACTTGCGAGGTTCTAAAATTGTTCATCAATTAGCAATCACACTTGTTAAGTCAAAGCCTAAACAAATGAAGTTGGACAAGAAGCACACAAGTCCTGGGAAGAGAAAGGCTGATGTGACACCATTGAGAAAGAAGAAAACACGATAGTCATTGGTGTTTGAGAGACATAAAGTGTAAAACAATCCTTCTCTGAAGATGTTCTCAACAATGGTTAATCGTCTTCTACCCAATAGGCAAACAGTTTGTGTGCAAACAGATGACAACCTATTCTACTATGATAGCTATACTTACGTATCTAAGAAGGATTTTGAAAAAGTGTTTGATATGAAGGAGTTGACAGCCTCATGCATTATAGTTTATATAATGTAAGTTGTTTGCTTATACTAATGATTATGATTTAATCTTCATTGGGTTTTATACTGCATATTGTTGTAATTTTGGTATTTTTTTAATTTGGCCGGGGCTTTATATGAGAAGCTGAAGGGTAATGGGGGCAGTGTAAATGAAATTGGTTTCATGAGCCTCAGCTCATTGTCAATAACAGGCAGCACTAATGCCATGGGAACAAGAACCCAAAGTGCATAGTTGCTTGCCAATCGGTTGGCAAGTGTGAAGAACGAGAATTTAATTATAGTGCCATAAAACGTAGGGTTAGTAATTCATTGATTTCCTTACTTTTAATCTTGTTTGAATAATCTGTTTTTAAGATTTAAAAACAATGCTCATCCTAATTTGTTTATTTGCGATCTGGAGAGTTTACATTTTTGTTATTTGGTTATGACAGACCCCTAAGGTTATTGATAGACCTCCCATTAAGAAGGTGTATCAATATAAAGGGCATAAGGGTAAAAATGTGTGAGAGTGCATGTGTGTTAGTAGAGGGTGGTTAGGTGTTATTTGCGTGTGAAGAATTTAGTAGTTAGTGGAAGGAATTGCTGGGACTATAGTTTGTTACTTTCCCTTTGTTGTTGATAATTGTTCTTATGAATTGTCATTTCCATTCACTTAATATAATACAGATCTATTTTCATTTATTACATTTCTCTCCTTTCTGCATTTTTGCCTATTGTGTTGCTGGTGTTGCTGGGTTAGCATAACCATGTATTGCACGAGAATCATTGTGTGGAGGAGCTGTTGAATTGTCTTTCTGCACTGTATAATTATGTTCAAATAATTTCCACCTGCTATGTCAACACTTCTTTTACAATCTACATCTGTAAGATAATTCAATTCTACCACTATGCATACTTTTAGAAATGCCTTTATTAAAAATGATTGCATCTCTTCTTTCATTTTATGTCTAAGGTGACACTGTCATGAGTGAAAGGATCTGCATAAGGTTATTTGCATTCAGTTGTATTTACCAATTTGTGCTATATTATTGAGAGTTTAAACATTCAAGCAATAGATGTGTTTGAAGGGATATTGTAATTAGTTGTTTTTCTTTTGCCAATTTTTGTTTGGAAGAATTATTTTTTCACATATTCATTATTCTTGCTAGAGGCAATCATCAAGGTGAATGAACTGAAATGTTGAAATTCTGCTTGTTATCCACTCTTCAACCATAATGATCTGTTTTTATTGCAAATTTTATGTCATGATTTGACTTGTATTGAGTTTGTACTTTTTATAGCTGCATAGTTTTGTAGTTGTTGGCGCCTGCATCTGTTCAACAATCTTATATATTCTATAGCGTTGAAAGTTATAGCATTGTCACAAGCCTTGTTAAAATAAATGCCAAAGCCTTTCAATTTAAATTTGGGGGCGATAGAACAGGTCATTGTGTTTGAAAATGAGTCTTAATTTATTTGTACTGATATTTTGTTTCCCCTGATCTTATAGTGGACTTTTTATGCCTCATATAAATCATTGGTAGCAAATGTTGTATTGATAGCTTTTTGCTTTGCTTTCTTAGTGAAAAATATGCATAAATATGACTTCATCAATTTCAGTTGAGTTTTGATCATCAATGATGTTTGTGACTATATTTGATTATTCTGATAGATTAGGAGTCTAACAATATTGCGAGTACATCTGTTGTGTCGAATCCATTGTCTAATTTAAGTCCATAAGATCATATCCTCAAACATGAATTCTGAGTGTTGATTGTATACACTAGTGTGAATCTGAATATAATATACTGTCTTCTGTAAGGAAACGATCTAACCCATGGCAGCAGAAAACAAAACAAAAAACAAGCATAGATCGATTCCTTTCTAAACCAAGATCAAGGCACAAATTATACAGTTTATATGTTAAATCAAAATCTGCTGTAATATGAACAATCAGAGTAAAGTTTAGAGTTCATATACACGTTTGGAGGCTTCTTCAAACTTGTCTCTGGCTAGGTTCACTACCGATTCAAAATAGAATTGAACCAATGGTAATCTACACGAAGATAACCCGAAGAACCAAAGAGGGATTTACTAAATCCTCTTCAGCTTCAAGAATAAAATCAAGAATCAAAGAAACTTTGATTCAATAAAGTAAGGGTGGCATGAGGCTTAGGAGAGGGTTGTGTGTGTTTTTCTTTTCTTTCAAAGAAACTGATTGAATGAATTCACATCCTTTAATTCACATAACATTGCACTTATATAGTGCACATAAAACCCTACTCCAATAAAGAATAGGCTTGGGCTTCAACCCAAACAGCCTCTACATCCAAACACTCCCAATCATGATATTTTAATTATAATTATTATTATTTTCAGTTAAACTCAATTAATATATTTATAGAAATACATCAACATTTAATTAATAATAATAATTCATTTAAATATATGTGTACATATATTTAAATATAATCTCACTTATTTAACAAATTAAATATGGCTAACCACCTCAGCAAATTTAATAGCACTGTGAGATTATTAAAATAAACTTTTGCCCTAAAAGACGAAAACACCCTTTGCACAAACTGATTCTTAAATTATCTTCTCTGTGTGTGACCCATAGGTTTCTCATCATATCGACAGTGTGTAGTGTCGCGATTAACACCAATTAATCGTCTCACTATACACAAACCAAGATTGGCCCCTAGCAAGGCATCATGGCCATCCAATAGATTCAGATTCAACAAAGCAGCAACCTGTCAACGATATGGTTACCATACAATCAAATCCTTTCATCATCTGTTATCTCAGTGAGACTAGGGTATTGAAATAGTGTCAATCTCAGTTTACTCTCGATATATTTGTATTCAGTTATTGGACCAATGATAGGAATAATGAATTGGATTGAGCAACAACTCAATCCCACTGTGATCACAAATTTATTGTCATTTTCATTAACTGAATTGTGCCATGAGATAACTTCTCCCGTACCTAGGAGTGATGAATCCTCTGTCGATCCACAATAGTCTTGTACACTTCTCGATGCAACCAATCACTATCGTATTGACAGCCTAAATAGAACTGCGTTGGGCTAGTGTCAAACTACACCAATCGGTGCACAAGGTGCTCCGGTGATCTCAAGTCTAAGGATCACATGCACCACCATTCGTTAGAGGATTTGTTCCATAGAAACTAGGGTTACCATCTATATGGAATCCTCTAGTGTGTTAGTCTAGTGAACTTTCCTACAGCAAGCACCCATGTGTTGCACTAGGTTGTCACCCAACAACCTTGACAAGTGAGATCTGTCACTACCTTTCGACAGGGTTGTTCAACACTATGATAGTCTTACCGTATTATCTGTGCCCTTGGTCAGAATAATACTGGGGCTACGGACGTTTCTAGAATGGCCACCATATGAGCTCATAGGGTTCTCACTATCAAGATTTGAAACACTTGATACCTTTATCATGATTCTACCATTCTAAGGACATATATCAATACATACAACTATGGTTTACATGATATAGAAAATAATGTCTTTTATTGATTAATAAATATTATTACAAAGAGTCAATTCCATAATAATTGATTGGCTATAAGGTACCTACTCCAACAATCTCCCACTTGCACTGTAGTCAATCATTCATGCACTCAACATCGAATGACCCAAGTGCCAACCATGCTTCTGCTACAACAAAAATTTCAACAATGGGTTAGTAGGTACTCTGGAAATCTACACATTCCCTTTCTGATTGATCTCTTAGATTAGATTGAATCAACTAACTATGTGTTTGGATTACTGGTGAGACCGTGATTCCTCAACCACAATAATTATTCCATTGTTATCGCAGTAGAACTTTACTGGATCAGCAATGCTTGGAACCACATTAAGTTCAGTAATGAACTTCTTGATCCAAACCGCCTACACAGTTGCATTAAATAATGTGATATACTTAGCATTAATTGTAGAATCCGCTACAATACTGTGATTCGACCTCTTCCAGCTCACTGTAGCTCCATTGAGACACAATATACAATCCCAAATTAGGAACTATAATCATCTTTATCCGTTTGAAAATAGTATCATTGTATCCTCTTACAATGAGCTCATCTTCCCTTCCATAATCCAAGGACATATCCTTAAGCCTTTTTAAGTACTTAAGATTGTTCTTGATAGCAATCCAATGACGGTCACCTGGATCAGATTGATTCTACTACAAGTGCTTAAAGCATATGAGACATCAATCCGAG